CTGTCCTTTCTAATAAGACTTTGCTATACACCTTACTTAGTGTCTTGCTTGAAATCCTCTCATGCAAGAATGACACAAGAGCTCAGAACACAAAGCAATCTCCAGTAAAATCTTATCTCAGGTATCCTCTCCTTCATCAGGCTTGGTGTTAGATAATTTTGCCCAATTGTAGGTTAATATAAGTGTTCTGAGTATGTTTAATGGTGACTGGAGCAAACTATGATGTTCAGTAAGTGTGTTAGTCTGCTTTTCCATGGCCATGAAGAAAATACCTGACAAGAACAATTTAGAAGAGCAAAGTTTATTTTGGTTCATGGTTTCAGTGGTTCAGTCCATAGTGGGCCAAGTTCATTGCTCTGGGCCCAAGATGAGGCAGGAAATCATGGTGGAAGAGCACTGCTCCATTCATGTCTTGATGGGAAGTAGAGAGAAGGAAGGAAGGAAGGAAGGGCCTTCAGGGAAGATGAACCTTTCCAGAGAATGCACCCCTCCCCCACAGTGTTCAGCCCTGCCCCATCTACCGACAGATAGTCCCTTCAAACTAGGATGGACTGTTTTAGTTAACAAGCATTACCACGGGAGTTTTGGGGTGATACCTTATATCTAAACCATAATAGTAGTTTAGGGGGTCTTAAGTATTTTCAACTTATGAAATTTTCGAATTGTAAAGAGTTAATCAGGGTGCCAATCCACCATAAGTTGAGGAGCGCTTATATATAATAATAAAGCTATGAAGTTCTGTTCATAATAATCTAGTATTGGTTGCCTATAAATAATCTAGTATTTTTTTTAACATCTTGCTTAAGAAACACTACCACAGATAATACTTACTGACAAAAAGATACCAAGCTTTTCCCTTAGAGACAAAGATATAAAGTTTGTCCCCAAGAGAACAACAAAATAAAACTACTATTATAATGTGTTAAAGGTTCTAGCCAGTGAAATATGGTAAGCAAACAAACAGGGTCCTAATTATTTCTCAAAAAAAAAAAAAAAGAAAAGAAAAAAAGAAAGAAAGAAAGAGAGAGAGAAATAGATCTATAAAGCTGACATTTGTGGGGGATACTGAGGATTGAACCCAGGGCATTTTACCACTGAGCTACATCCCCAGTCCTCTTTATTTTGAGACAGGTTCTTGCAATATTGCTGAGAGTGTTGCTAACTTGCCCAGGTTGGCCTTCAACTTGCAATCCTCCTGCCTCGGCCTCCCAGTGCTGGGATTATAGGTGTGTGCCACCATATCCAGCTAAATCTGTCACCTTTTTCCTGATAGATAAATTACTTGTGCCCCCAAATTTATGTGTTGATTATATAATAACAATTTTGCTAAATAAGTGGTCAATATTAAAATTATTTTTTATATAAGAGTAACAAATATAAAGTAAAACTCAAAACACTTTTATAGTAGCATAAAGATATTCAGTCTGTAGCAATAAATTTAAGAAAGATATTCAAGACTTCTATGGTTAAAATAATATTATTGGAATTAGCAAAGGGAACTGAAATAAATATACATGTGTTCATGGAAAAAGGCTTAAAATGATTTAGATACCAATCCTTTACACACTGTTCTATAGATTTGTCACAATCTCAATTAAATTCTCAGTAATCTTTTTTTGTGAAAAATGAGAATACTTGAATATTTATACAGAATGCAAAGGCAAAGAATAGTTCAGTCAATATAAATTCAAAAAGCAAAGAAAGAGGACTTACCCTATCAGATACCTGTTGAAAGTTGATTTAGATAAGTTGGTATTGGCTCAATAATAAACAACTAGACATATCCTCTCTCCCACCAATTTTCACAATATCCTGCCACCAGATTTATGTTAAACATGACACCACAGTGTATGGGAAGCTCTTTCAATAAATGATACTTGGTCAGTTGATACCCAGTTTGAAAAAAATTTTTGTTGCCTTTATATCACTCAAAAATTGATTTCAGATGTAATATAAATAGAACTTTGAGGGTAAAACTAAGACTTTTAGAAGTCTTTTAGAAGAAATTAAAGGAGAATTTTTGTGATTTTGAAGTAGCACAAATTTCTTAGAACATAAAATGCTCTAATTCAAGAAAAGACAATGGATAAATGTAATAATATTGAAAGCTTCATTTTACTAAAATATACCATTGAAAGAATTAGAAATAAAGTCTATAGTGACATTATATTTCTAATTCATGTATCTGAAAAAGACTATATCTAGAATATACAAAGTACTATTAATAGGTATACTTTGTATATTCTAGATATAGTATACCTATCTTATTAATCAATAAGAAGTAAATAGCCAAACAGAAAAATGGACAAAAGACTTGAAGGTAGATCACAAAAGAGAATATAAAAGTGGACAAAACCCATATGGAACAGCAAGGAACATTTGAGAAAGTGCTGGAAACTGAGGAAAATTCCTGAGCAAATGCAAATTAAAGGCTCAATGCTATACCACAATACACACATATGAATGGTTAAAAGGAAAAGACACACTGGCACCAGGGCTCCCATTCTCAGAGGCAATGCAGCCAAGGGTGCCTGCCTCTGCAGGGCTCAAGGATGTATCCCTCTGTAGGTTGCACCCCAGCACTATACCAAACCCCTCCCACAAACCAATTCCACAGACTTCTGGATTTCATGGTTAGTATAGTCACAGCAGTAATCCTATTTCTAAGTACCAATTTCTGCATTCTTCAGCTTTTCATGACGTTTTTGTGACCCAAATACCTGAGAAAAATAACTTAAAAAGAGGAAAGATTTAGCTGGACATAGTGGCACATGCCTGTAATCCCAAAGTCTCCGGAGGCTGAGGTAAGAGAGTAGTAAGTTCAAAGCCAGCCTCAGCAAAGGTGAGGTGCTAAACAACTCAGTGAGACCTATCTCTAAATAAAATAAAATAAAAAAATAGGGCAGGGGATGTGGCTCAGTGGTTGAGTACCCCTGAGTTCAATCCCCAGTAACACCCCCCTCCCCCCAAAAAAAATGAAGAGAAAAGATTTATTTTGGCTCTTGGTTTCAGAGAATTCAGTCTATGGTTAGCTCGCTCCATGGCTTTAAGTCTGTGTCAGAGGGTGGGACAGAGAAAGATTATAGAAGCCAAGAAGAAAGGGGATCAGGGGATAGAAAAATGTGATCTTCTCCCTCCAATTAGTCCATTCAGCCACTAATGGATTAATCCACTGATTAAATCATGATTTCATGATCCAATCACTTCCTCAAATCCCACCTCTGAGCACATAAATCTTTGGGGGGCAGTCTATATTTAAGTTATAATAACCAATAACAAACTAGCTAAAAAAGAAATAAAGAAGGTAACCCATTTACAATGGTCACAAGAAAAACTTAAGAATAAATTCAAGTGAAAGACCTTTACAATGAAAATTAGGAAACACTGATGAAAGAAATTGAAGGGGACTCCAAAAAGTGGAAAGATTCTAATGCCCATGGAGTAAAAGAATTAATATTGTTGAAATGTCCATACTACACAAAGTGATCTATGGATCCAACATAATCCCTATCAGAATATGAATGACAATCTTCCCAGAAGTAGAAAATAACATTTTATTATATATATAATCATAACATTTACACTGAACTGTAAAAGATTGGGAATAGTGAAGGAGTTCTGAGGAAAAAAAAAAGAATAAAACTGAAAGTATCCAATAGCTGATTTGAAAACATACTACAAAGCTATAATAATCAAGAGCGTGATACTCACACATAGACCAACAAAACTGACACATAGACCAATGAAATAGAATAGAGAATCCAGAAAATAATTCACATACTTACAGCCAAATGATTTTTGACAAAAGTGCCAAGAACATACATTGGACAAAGAAGAGAATCTTTAATAAATGGTGCTGGGAAAAGTGGAAAGACACATACAGAAGAATGAGATTGGAGGTCTATCTCTCACCACATACAAAAGTCAACTCAAAGTCCATCAAAGACCTAGATGTAAGAGATGAACTTTCTGAAAGAAAGCTTAAGAGAAATACTTCAAGACATTGGTATAGTGGTGAGTTTTTGAATAAGTCCTCAAAACACAGGCAACAAAAGTAAAAAACAGAGAACCATGATTCTAATAAGCTTCTTCACAGTACAGGAAACAATTAATATAATGAAGATATAATCTGAAAAATGTGAGAAAATATGTGTTAACTATCCATGTGAAAATGGATTTTTATCCAGAATATGTAAGAAACAGAAAAGCCCAAATAATCTAATAAAATGGGTAAATGATCTGAAGAGACATTCCTCAAAAAAGAAAAATTTGGGCTGGGGATGTGGCTCAAGCGGTAGCATGCTCGCCTGGCATGTGTGCGGCCCGGGTTCGATCCTCAGCACCACGTACAAACAAAGATGTTGTGTCCACTGAAAACTAAAAAAAAAATAAATATTAAAATTCTCTCTCTCTCTCTCTCTCTTAAAAAAAGAAAAAGAAAAATTTAACATACAAATGGACATCTAGCATGTAAAAAAATGCTCAGTGTCACTAATCATCATGGAAATGAAAATCAAAACTTCAATGAAATGCTGTCTCACTCCATTTAGATTGGCTATTATCAAAAAGATTAAAAAAACAATTACTGTCAAACATGTAAAGAAAGGGATACTCTTGTATACTATTGGTAAAAATGTAAATTAGTACAGTCATGTGGCAAAAAGTATTATGGAAGATCTTCAGAAAACAGAAATACCATGTGATCCAGCAATCCTACTACTAGGGATATATCCAAAGGCCACACACAAAAAAAAGAAAAAGAAAATGTGATATTTATACACAATGGAATATTGCTCAGCCGTAAAAAAGAATGAAATCTCTTATTTGTGGCAACATGGGTGGAAGCAGAGGACATCATGTTAATTGAAATAAGCCAGATTCTAAAGGACAAACACTGAATGTTCTCATTCATCTGTTGAATTGAAAAAGTTGATCTCACAGAAGAGAGTAGAATGGCAGTCACTAGTATGTGGTATACCTGTTTTCTCAATAGAATGCTGCACAGATATGAGAAACTACATGCCACAACATGGATAATCTCACAAGTGTGAAGAGAATGAAGAGAAACCAGTGAAAGGCAAGAGACAAAGTGTGGATAAGGTATGACGTTATTTAGTATAAATCAGGCAAACTAATCTCTGATGTTTGAAGTTAAGATAATGGTCATCCATGGTTGAGGGTGGGGAAGGAACCGGAAGGCACCAGAAGAGAACTTCTGGAGGTACTCTTGATGTTCTGTTCTATACTTGCTATTCTGTACGTGCTTATATCTAATCTGTTAGAATCAGAACACTGTGCACTTATAATTTTTGCACATTTCTACATATGGGCTGTATATCAAGACAATTAAAATCATCAATTCTATACCTCATGGTTACATGTCATACAAAATAATTAGAAGCTATACTTTCAGATCTTAAATAATATCATAGGCCCAAATGAGAAAAGTTAAATGCATGCCATGATGTTATTTGAGGTCCACAGAAATAATAATTACAAGAAAAGTAATATGCAAAGTTTAAATGACAAAGTTGATTTACAGAGAAGCAGATGGGATGGAAGGGATTCCTAGGAGAAGCGTTATCTTTAGTTTTGTCTTGCTTTCAATATGGTTTTTGAGAAAGGCATGCAATGTTATAGTTTAAAAAATTACATGCATATGCACATATATCTTTTAATTTCAAAGCATGTGATGACTTGCAAAATAAAAATTAAAAGAGATTTAAGGATATAAAAACTGACTATGGGAAATCCCAAAGCTGTTTTAATTAACAATTTTAAAGTTTAAAAGAATATTTGCCTAGCAAGTGAAGGAAGAGATCACGAAGAAGAGTCAAGGACACCATGACACTTTGGAAGCTTTTTCTCTCCTATAAGTGAATATGGCCCTTCATTAATGACTTTTTCCAATCTACTACTTTTCTATCATTTATTTGCTCCCCTTGGTCCAAGCATACCTATGTATGTAGAATTGAAATGAGGATTTTGCAGCCCAAGGTACAGATTAATTATTATAATTGCAATGGTTTCAGTAGAAGCCTAGAGAGAAATTATCTCAAAATGCAAATAACATCATCCCTTTCAACAACAAATTATAGCACTTTTGAGTGACCTGACATTTTAACTGCATAGTAAAATGAGGGCTACAAAATGTAGACACCAACCATAACTTTCATGATATATTCTAACTTCACGGCAGTTGTTTGCAATGCATGGTCTTTTTTTTATGGGAGATTAAAAGAGAAAACGATTTCTCTACTCAGTATACTTCTGACACCAAATATGTGGGTTTTCTCCAGTACTCTGTAGGATATCCTACAATTTAATTATGATGTGACCTGGAGTTACTGCAGATTCCGTAGGTAAAGGGCTCTCACCCACAAGACTCTCTCCTCAGTTCAAATGCCAGCTACAAGTGTTGGGTTCCCCATTTCTGACTTAGCTAAAAATTGGGGGTCTCCACAATCCCTTCTTGTGTTTTATAATTTGCCACAATGGGTCATAGAACTCAGGGAAATATTTACCACTTTGATATGCGAGATATCATAATGATACTAACCAAGAGTCAGATGAAATAGCAAATAGGGCAAAACCCAGGGAAGGGGTGTGGCCCAATTCAGATGTGCCTCCACCTTCTCTGTACCTTTATGTGTATAATTACCCAGAAGCATGGGACTCTCTCAGACCCATTGCCTAGAGTTTTACATTTCATAGGCATGATCAATTAGATCATTAGACACTGGTGACTACCTTAAGCTCCAATTGTTTTATCTTCCCCAGAGGTTGGGGGACCATGGAGCTGAAAATTCCAACCCCCTAATGATGCCTTAGTCTTGGCAGAAATCAGTCTCTTTCCTGTGTAATGCCAGCTTCGTGGGACCCCAATAGACCTCCAGGAGCTGAATCTGATGCAATCACACAAGAGTCATTATTGCAAGCTGGAGCCTGGACTCACAATCATTCCTGATGCAGCGGTCCCAGGGAGTGAGTTCCAGGCCTTAGTTCAGTGAGGATTTATAGGTTTTGGGGGGATACTCTATGCGACACAATATCACACAGCAAATCATTTCACACCGCGGGAAAGTCAAACAACTCTTAACATTGATGATCACATTCACTGGTGGGAGCAAGTTGGGTAGGGGTGATTGGTTAGTACAAGAGGGGGATTCCTTTGAACTGATTGGTTTAATCCTTGAGGGGTGTAGAAACATGCTAAACTACATGGTTTTCCAACATGTTTATCAACCACCATAAAGTATGGGGGGTTGGCTGGGGGTCACCTGGCATCCCAGGTATTTTCCCTGTCTCATGCTGATTGGTGGTTGCTAGGGGGTTGCTATGGGTCCTCACCTAGCCTAACTGTGTCAGGGACACCTGGTGCTGCAGATCTCTCCTTTCATTTGCAGACAAACAACTCAACAGGGTGGGTATGTGCCTAGGAGTGCTCTGTGGGTTTTTCCATGGACAAGAGTCAGGCCCCCTTCCTTGGACAGGCTTGGCTCTGAGGTAGTGGCTGGTTTCTCAAAAATGGAGTCACATCACTGCAGATATTTAGGGATCCCGACTGTCAATCTTCTCATTAGCATACAAAAAGACATTTGTTTTAGTCAGATTTTTTTTCACTGCTATGACTAAAAGATCTGACCAGAACAATTATAGAAGAGAAAACGTTTATTTGTGGGCTCACAGTTTCAGAGGTATCAACCTATAGATAGTAGGCTCCCTTCCTCAGGGCTTGAGTGATGGCAGAACTTCATGGTAGAAAAGTGTCACCAAATATGTACCCCAAAGGCACATCCCCAATGACCCATGCCAGCCACACCCTACCCACCTACAGTTAAGGATCAATTAATTCCTATCAGAGGATTCATTCACTGATTAGGTGAAGGCTTTCATAACCCAATCATTTCTCCTCTGACTGTTCTTGCATTGCCTCCCACATGAGCTTTTGGGGGACCATAACAACACTCATCACTCCATCATCCAAAGGTTTTAGAAGCTCATGGGTTAGAAAATAATGGACGGAGTCCAAATACTAGAATAAAAGATTTTTCTGTCACTCAGGAAATTTCAAGGGTTTTAGGAACTTGTATCAGGAACTAGGGCAGGGGGGAGTCCAAATATGTATTTATTATCATGTCACAGTGATCTATTTCTCAAAACAGAATTTAAGTCTCTTCCATGGAGGACCTAAGCTTTGAAATTCTCTTCTTTTTCTATCTCTGTAAAAAATCACCTTTGTGGGATCTTGGGCATTAAGGATCCTCTTAGCAGGTCTCATCCAGGCCACTTGAGAGATTTTAATGAGTAGAGAGGATTCATAAAATAGTTTCTCAGGAGTAGGATTACATGTTTATTTTGTACATATGCCCAGAGGCTTTGCAATGAGTGCATTTTTATAATTCTAATAGATTTTCAAGTACTGCCTATTCTTTTTTTTTTCCTATGCTAATAGCCAGAGGCTATTGAGATGGGAGTAATTTTAGAAAACCCTGAATAAAAACAAACAAACTAAACATTCCTGCCAATTTGTGAATCAGCCAAACATCTCAGTTGCCAGTTTTATGTTTATTTTTCGGTTTGTTTAATTTATCTGGTTTGTCAGTAAGTTAAAATCAAAACACCAGGAATGACCTCCAGTTTATCCCTCCTGTTTTCTGCTGTCTTTAACTGGCAAGCTTTACTGAAATCCAGATGCCAATATAACTTAAAATCATAGTTTGAAAAAAAAAATAAGACAAACTCTTAAAGACAGTGGCATCAAGGAAGCTTATTTTAAAAATACAGCAAAGAAACAACATTTTAGGGTGTGTCTCTCTTACTTCCTGCTGTCTGAGGCACTCAGTTTTAGCTTCAAATGCTCTACCTTTTTAGTCAAAAACAGAAAGGTGGTATTTATACTTAAGGTTGACAAAATATGATGAAAGGTAGCCAGCAAACTTTGTATTCAGTCCTTAATTCTATATTCTAGAGAAATTTCTTCAATTAGGAAGGGATTGAGACTAGCAAAATCTCTGGTTTCACCGCCATTATGAGCCCATTATGTGATTTCAAGAAACCCATTCAAGTCTCCTTGCTTGTTTTAAATACCTCCTGTCCCTTGTGTTTTCAAAGGGCATTCTACACATACTTACATAGTCAAGAATATTGCTTTGTGTGTTCTGTTTCTTGGGTTCCAACCTTGGTACCTGTTATGGTTTGTATGAGATGTCTCCCAGAGTCTCCTGTGTTAATGTCGGAATGTTCAGAGTGAAACAATTGGATTGCAAGAGCCATAATCTAACCAGTCCGTCCTAGTTTGAATGGATGAACTGAGTGGTAACTGTAGGCAGGTAGGGCATGGCTGGAGAGAGTGGCTCACTGGGGGTGCACCCTAGAAAGGTTTACTTACTCTGCAGTCCCTTTCTCTTCTCCCTGCTTCTTAGCTGCCATAAACGGAGCAGCTTTACTCTACCACCCTTTCATCCTGGTGTTCTGCCTCACTTGGGCCCAAAGTGATGGAGCTGACCAACCATGGACTAAATCTTTGAAACAGCCCCAAATACACATTTCCTCCTCTGTGTTGTTCTTGTCATGTATTTTAGTAACAGCAACAGAAAACTAACACAGTGCCTATCATGTGTGCACAGAACATGAGAGATAGGGTTGACTTCTGAAGGGCCACTTGTGATATTTTTTATTCATGGTTGGGAAGTTCAGACTTGCTTTCTGAAGGTTTGGTCATTGAGTCTGCTGAAATAAATGGACAATAGACAGATTAACAGGAGAAAAAGCATACAGATCCATTTAATGTGCAGAGGACCTGTGCAACTCAGGAGCTTGAAGAGACACCAGATGGTGGAGGCTTAAAACTCTTCCCACAGGTGAGAGGGAAGTGAGGGGCTGAAGTCAATTTTAGAGAGGGAGTGTTTCACTTAGCTTTTCTGTCACTGTGACCAAAAGAACTGACAAGAAAAATATACAGGAGGAAAAGTTTATTTTGGCTCACAGTTTCAGAAGTCCGCTCATAGATGACTGACTCCATAGTTTGGGGCCCAAAATGGTAGAGGGCATGTTAGAGAAAATAAGGTTGACACCAGGAAAGGGTGGGGGGGGGAATG